GCAATCATTCATGCCATGAATGCACAAGGGGCTTTCAAAAAAGTCATGAAAAATGGAATAAAGATAATGGAATTTATCCATGAACCTTTTGAAGATACTGCATATCTGTTCCTAATAGATTACGCTAAATAGAATAATGTAATATATCTTTTTAAATTCCTCAAATATTGTACATCTTAAAAATCTTTACGATACCTGTTCATCTTCCATGAAAATTCAGAAATATTAAGCTATTTACATATAACATCTCTCCTGAAGATCTATTAAAGTTGATATTAATTTTATTCTCTAGCTATGGTAAAGAGACCTGTTAGGTTACAGTATATCTGTACGATTCACATAAAAACTTGATAGCTGAAAATTAACAGAATGACTATTTTTCTGGGTCCTGCAAATTTTACAAATTCAACTGTGCAGTTTCTTATGTTATAGTTGGAAACTCAACCTCATTTTATAGTTTGAGTTTTCCTTCTCTGAAAGATTTCCAACTTATATAGGTCTAGGTTTTTTAAGTGTGTGTACACGCACGCATGTGTGCCTTGCTTCGTTTTTTATGTCCCTGAGCACTACAGATGGTTAACTTGGATATGTGTTCCTGGAGAGACTGGGAGTTTGTGTCTACTCAGAGTCTCCAGGGAGGAAAAGCCTGGGTGATGCACTTTGAAAACCCAGTCACTGAAACCCCCTCTGCAACAACCCTGTGCTCTGACACACATGGAGTCTGCAGTTGTTGTGTGGGTTTGATGGCGTCTGTTTGATTTGGTTATTTCTAGGGGGAAAATGAATTCTGACTTCATTTGCTACCCTCAAGGCTGGCAGTTCAACTCCACCAGCAGATCTAAAAGAGGAATATGAGGCTGGTTGCTCTTATATAGATCCTGGACACCTATAGAGGAACACTATGAGTCAGAATGACTGTGTGGCAGTGAGTTGGTTTGGGGGGATAGGGACAATGAAGGTTTCTAGGTGGCACAAACAGCTTGGACTGTTCCACTGAGGATTGACGGGGTAAACCCAGCCTGCATTACCCAGCCTGCATTACTATAGAAGACAGGAGATCGGCTTCCACAGATAACGATGCTCCAGACACACTATGGAACTGTTCTGCTCTATAACACATGACATAGCCACGAGATGGAATTAAGTCCATGACACTAACCCAGTGGGGAAATTGAACATGATGATCGCATATTCATGTCTATGAATGCACATGGATACTGTGTTGGAAATATGACTAAATCAGAAACAAACGTAATTCCCATTAAGAATCACCATGTCTGTCAGTGTAGCCTATCTAAATTAGTCTGTGAAGAAGCCCTCCTGCTCCAGTTGTTAAAGGATTGGCAGCTCCATGAAATGAAAGCAGGTGTGTTCCATGAGGTGCCATCTGGTAACACATGGATTATAGCCTAGAAACCCTAAGGAGGAGTTTAAGGTGCCATGGCATCACTCACAGAATCGACTGTAGCGCAGTGGACAAAACAAGTCTCTTATCAAGAACACCTGGATTAAAAGCTAGAACATTCAAGCAATACCATGCAGTGGGGCACAGGGAAAATGGTATCTTATTTTAAATAAGATCCTATCTTACTATATGTAAGAGTTACATACCTGGATGTTGCCTTGTATTAGAAATAATTATGACATAATTTTTAAAATGAGGAGCTATTAGTAGGACACAGTTCTTGCACAGCAAATGCAAAGAAACTGAAGAAACAGCTAACATGAAAAAAATAAATCAAAAGGATAAAAATAATTTGTATACTTAGAATTTGGTTCCAAGAAAATGTTATAACCAGGTCTGAAGATTAATCAGGGCCACACCGAAAAGGATCAAATGAAAAGCTTTACTGGAGTTGGCTGCCAGGAAACAGCTGGGGTTCAATACATCTGTGCCCCAAGCGCACTACTCGAACTCTGGTTTATAAAGCAACAAACCCTGGGTGGGTGGAAATACTTTTCGCCTCCAATCACAACTGCACACGCTGACTAGGGGGGATGGAGCAGCTAGGGAACTTCCTGCTGGTATCCATTATGGGTATGGGCAGCAGCCCACTAAAATTTTGAATCTGGTGGGTCTGGGGACCAATGTAGAAATAGCAAGCTTAAGCAATGGAAAAATAGAGAGGCAAGTGTCAGCAGATTAGCAAATGAGACTTCAGGTCCTTCAGTCAGTATGCAGCCATTAGGATGTGAATGTTTGGCCCACCATTAATGATTTCAAAATCAGTCATGTGGGGAGAGGGGGTGGGGTGGGGATGGGTACCAACTCAATTAAACATAAGCAAGAAAATACAGAAGCTAAATTCAGCTGGTTAATTAATAAACATCAGGATATTTCAAAACATTTTCTGTATCCACTAGGATAAATGACAAATGATTGATTTAAATTCTATGTCACTGTGAAAATAACTCAAATTAACAAAAAAGTGCTGACCTTGAGGGCATGTGCCACTAAAATATACCAATACTGACTCACAGTGACCCTATAGGACAGAGTAGAACTACCCTGTAGATTTTTAACACTGAAACACTACAGGTGAAGAAAATCTATTCTTTCTCCAAATTAATACATAGAAGAACCTGAAAATAAACAAAATAATTGCTGGATTCTGCAAATCAAAAGGATAAAAGAAACCAAAATTCCCGATTAAAAAATGAGTGGATATTAAATCTGGACCAGCAATGCTCCAAGAGCCAAGAGGGACGATAAGGGGGTGGCGGCAGGGGTGGAAGAGCCGTGTTAAAAGAGACGAGCCATTCACACAACCAATCTCTCAGGTGAGGTTTATTAGGGGAAACATCCCCACGTGGGGCTCAGCTCTACACACTCCAAGTGGAAAGGTACAGCAGCAGCAGACAAATCTCAGGAGCTGTATTAGAGATTAAAGTCTTAGCACCCTGAGAGGTGAAAACTGTGACACAGAGCAGGGGTAGAATTCAGCCAGGAATGTGAGATTAAGAAAGGCTTTATTTAGGCAGGGAAAGAACTCACAGGCAGATTCCACAACCCAAGGAGTTAGGTCAAGGAAGTTGCGCCTGGCAGTGAGGCAGTGGGACTTGTACAGGGTCTGAGCCAAGGAGGTATGTGCTGATAAGGGGAAGGAGGCTTTTAGTGATGCAGCTGCAAGGCCTTGAGTCAGGATGTGGCCTGCGAATAAATCACCTTGTTTTTCTGCAGACCTGCTTCCCGGAATGCTGGGGGAAGAGGCTGTGTGGACCCTGCCAGGAGAGAGAAGCGCCTCGGAATGCTGGAGGCAGGGACTGCAAAGTCCAGAAGATCATCCTTCTGAGAGGCTGGGGCAAAGGGGCTGCAAAGTCCAGCAGTCATCATCTTTCTGAGAGGCTGGGGGAAGGGGCTGCATGGTCTGGACCTGGCCCAAACACACCCCAGTTACTAAAGGGCTATGAATGGCAGTGTGGATTAACCCCCAATTAAATTCTTTCTGATCATTAAGCAAGGAGGTGGATTACATTTGCCCAGAGGCAGAGGAACTTGGAAAGTGGACACCATCCACCTTTCTCCAGCCAATCCAGGGGGTCCTATAGTCACCAGCCATGCCTTAGTAGTTGAACCCTGATTGCCTGAGTCAGAGGGCCCTGGAACAACCTTGTAAAATGCTCTATCTGGCAATGAAGGTGGCTCAGTTATGGTCCTGTCCCTCCTTTTGTAGTCCCATTTAGAACAATGCTGTATTGATGCTCCACCAATCAGAAACTTGTGACAGTTTCCTCTGTTGCAACCTTATTTAATTAGATTCCTGACTTAAAAGTTTCCTTGAACTGCACTATGATCTCCATCCGGTGACGGGGCTGCATCTTTGTATTCTCTTTGTCTCTTTTAAGACTTAATAAATGTTCACCGTAAATTATATTTGAGATTGAAATTCCCTTTTACAGCCTAAAACAGACCACAAGCTAGTCTCCGATGGTCAGAAATGGTTGAGGGACATGCAGTCAAGACCTATTTTGGAGTAAAAAGGAGACCCCATTTTAAATATCGTTTCAAGAGAACATTTATTAAATCTTATGAGACAAAGACAACATAAAGACACGAACACACCAACAGGAGGTGGAAATGGCTTCCCAAGTTCCCAATTGAGATGTGAGATAAAGAGGATGTGGGGGAGGGGCAGGGCAAAGGAAACTGTCACAAAAGCATGATTGGTGGCCAATCAATACATCACAATGACAGACATTCCATCCTTAGATAGAGGGCTTACAAAATAGGTCCAGGACCTTCTGGCCCATGCAGTCAGGACAAGGCTAATAGCACATGGCTCCTGTCTAGGAGACCCCCTGTACTGTCTCCAGTTTGGTGACCTCCATCAAGGACACACACGCAGGCAAACCTCCAAGAGACTGCTTCTCCCTGGGCTGCCTGCAGAGAGGTGAAGCTAATCCACACTCCAAAGCCTGCGCGCCAGATTACCTACTACGTTTGTTCCTGGGCAGAAACCATTCAGTGGAGGTTCACTCTATGAGGGGACTGCAAACTACGTGAGGACTTAATCTGTGCGGGGATTGGGGGCTGTCACTGCTATTGCACCCTTTTGCAAAGCAAGGTGCTGAGAAATTAAGCTCTAATACAGACCTCGGTCATCAGTGGGGTGGCCTGATGACTGCAAGGCTGACCTCTCTTTTCAGTAAAGGCCACTCAGGTCCCCCTGCTCTCTTGCCCGCAACCTAGCACGGAAGAGACGGGCCCCAGGCAAGAACCCACTCCCAATCAGGCCTTTCTGGAGGGAGCGGGGAGGGCGCAGGAGGAGCTCTGAGCAAAAAATGCGACCAGAGTATTCCCAGACCTGAAGGCAGAGGCCTCCAACCAGTTCAGAAAGGATTTAACTGGAAATGTCCCAGGGGGTCGCAGAGACCTGGAACACTCGCCGACGGGGTGTGGGAACTGTAACGTCCTCGGGAACCCGGACACAGCTGGGGACGCCAGACCTGCGGGGGATTCCGCGCCTGGGATCAGCACAGAAACACGGAAACTCACTCACCCGCAGAAACTCGTGGGACGCTCACTCGGATCCTTCTCAAGCAGAGGAAGTGCTTTCAGCAGGAAATTGCTTCGACTGGGGAGGGGGCGGGGTGGCGTCTGTGCGAAGAGGCGGGGCCTGGATATAATGAGGGCGACCTGGAGGGAGGGGCCTGGAGGTGAGGCTTAAGGCAACTGATTGATTCTTAGTAGTTTCTTAGTCCGGAAACCCTGCTGAAACCACTTTGGGTGGCCGTGCATGCATTTGAAACGCGTTTGCATTTGAATCACAACAACACGCAAGCCCAGACAGAAAGACAAGCGGAAAGGAAAGTGGTGGGTAGAAAGCACGTTTTCCAACTGGGAATTTCCCCTGAGAGACACTCCAGCTGCTAGGACTACAGAGACACACTTGACAGCATCTGATGCCATCTGCTCCACTTGACCACGTCTCTCCTGGGTTCCACCTGAATGTCCCTCAACCACCCAACTCGAAGAGGCCTGAGCCTTGTAGAATCAAGAGCCACAACAGGCAGACCCTTCACAAGCTGCTTCATCCTCAGACACGGATTTCAGGCTCTGCTCCCTGTGCTACAGCACCCAGACTCAAGGCTCCTTTCCCTTGTGCATGCTCAGGTGAGCATGGAGATGGGGAATTCCTGAAAATGCCACAGTTGGCCAGTTGACATCTCCTCCTCCTCTTCTCCTCCCCTGCTCGCTCCCTCTCCTCACTGCTAAAAATTTATTTCTCCCCAATCTTTTGGTTCTGTATTACTCTTTTTATGAAACCTTTCTGTGAAGAAGTGTCTTATTTTCAGCAAGTTCCAGGCAACTAATTGTCCTTCACGGACTGTGTTTCCTTTAATACATTTCTTGTGTTGAGGTCTCTCCTTTCTATTTATATGTTATTGAGTGTTTTATCAGGAATGGGTGTTAGATATTGTCAAATGCCTTTTCTGCATCTATTAATATGATCATAGGGTTCTTATTCTTTGTCGTGTTTATATACTTGGTTATGTTAGGTAGGCCAGCATAGGACTGGGGGGATGTCCGTTAACGCATGCTCAGAGGGCCAAGCCAGGGAAACAAAGGAGTGGCGCACTGCACATGTTCAGGGTTCCCGCCGGTAGGCAGGGGTGGGCATGAACTTGAATTGGCTCACCTAGCCAGGTAAATTCAATTCAGACTATGGGGTTGATCAGGGGTCGTCCATCACGCCTCCCCGTGGAATCCTTGAAAAGGCAGAAGCCTGGATTTGGGGCGGTGGGAAGAAGGAAGGAAAGAGAGCTTAGGCGCAGAGAGCTTTGGCAGGACTTTGGGACACGCTTTACTGGACGCCAAGCTGCTTCCAGCTAGGCCGCATGTCCGGGAGGAGCCCCTTGGGTGACGTGTAAACCTGAAACTTATTCTAACTTTCATAAAACTCACTTCGATCACGAACCAGGCTTCGGTGTGAATTCTTTCTCACGCGGAGCCAAGGACTGAGGTATAAATCTAGCTCTAGAGAGATCTAACAGTTACATTAATAGTTTTTCTAATGTTGAAACATCCTTGCATCCCTGGTAATAATCCCACTCAGTCAAGTTAAAATATGAACTCAAAGGTAGGGAGAGGTGCTCTCTAACTCAATCCATCCCATTCCCACAAATGTAAAGATAAACTGCTCTGATGTATGCTCTAAATCGTTATGTAATCATCAAATACTGTTACCTTATTGTTAAAACACCAGTATAATATATCCTGTTGTAGTGTATATTATAAATAATTTTACCCCATATTCTCTGTAGTCTTAAAATTTTCTTTTAAAGTTTCTTAGGCATTAAAGTAATACATAAATAAATAGTTTCTCGTACTAATCTACCATGGTCCAGTTTTGTCCTTGACTATTGATTCATCTTGCAAGTTAAAACCCTGATTATATATTTTCAATAATGATTGTGGAATTATTATTACTTTACTACTTATTTAAAAAAGAAACACTAACATTTCAGTATGTATACAAGGGAGGTTGTTGTTGTTAGGGGTCACTAAGGGAATTCCAAATCATAGTGACCCTGTGTACCACAGGGAGAAACACTTGCCTGTCCTACACCATCTTCATAATTGTTCTTATATTTGAGCCCGTTGTTTCAGCCTTTGTCAATCTAAAAAGCTTTCCTCTTGTTTGCCTCCCCTCTACCAAGCACCAGGATTGAAGTGATGTATATCGTGTATTTGCCTCTGGTTTGCAAATACTCAAAAACTAAGGTTTTACTTATATGGAATAAGAGAACGCATTTAAAAGAAGAACAATAAAGTCAGAGCTTTCATGTGCATTCTGACTCATAGAACCATAGAGAGCAGAGTAAAAGCTCCTTAGGCTTTTATTTTTTATATTTTATAAACCATAATATTTTATCTTTACCACAGCAGGTAGTGTTCTTAAAAGCAACAGTCCAAAACTAGATAGGTGATATAGTGGTTTATTTTCTCACTGTCAGACATGGATAAGCACCAAATGGAAGTTAAAGTGTACTTGATTATCCAAGAGATGAAGAAAATATTATTTGTTTTGTATAAAATTTAAGTTGTGTTGATATGGTAGCAGTATATTGTTAATTGTTTTATGTGGCTCTGAGCACAGCTGTGAGATTGTAAGAGAATGATATCCTGGCCCACTATCAAAGTGACTCAGGCATCACCTTTTACGATGTGGATATTCAGTGTCACACAGGTAGGTTGGTGCCTTGAGCTCAGTCCGTGCTGTCCATGAGGTATGTGACTTTGATCATACATCTGATAATAATCTGAACCGTTTGCCCGCATAAGAATCTTTCTTTTCCCACTAAGACCTCACATTGTATTATTTCCAATTCATCTGAATTCCTTCCTGCATGGTCAGTGTTATGAAGAACAAACTTTCAATTATGTTGGTGGGAATTTAGGCACCAAGAACTGCTGTTTATGATGTCCTATTAATCTCTGCCATATCAAGTAAGATACATATTTTCCTGAATGTCTATGCTTGAAGCCTTATCTCCAGATGATTTTTCACTGCAAGCACCCTTGTTCCCCCTCCCCCGCACCGTGCCGCACCCCTCTCATGGTGAGATGTGGGAGGGTGTCCCAGAGGCTGGTCCCACCCCCTAGTTTTAGTACTGGTTGGGGTTCCTGGGGAGAATCCCTGTTGGAGAAAGGGCGTTCCCAGGCTAGGGCTTTGGGCGTTGGGGTTCCCTATTCATCACTTTGCAGGTCTCCTAAGCCCCTCCCTTGTTTCCTTTCACACAGCTGTGCCTCCTCCCAGAGACTCTTAGAACGTCTTCAGCGAAGAACTGAATGCTATTCAGGAAGCGAGTGGTTGCAGCTGGTGCACAAAACTTTAGGGCTTTCTCCTGAGGTTTGCCCAGTCTTATCACCTGTGCGGTACGTTCTCCTGGGAACTGGGCAGGGGGTGAACCCGGTCCGGAAACTCCCCGGATCATTCTTGCCAGCTGCTTGGGCAACTGCAGGTATCACGCTCAGCCTTGAGGACGTTGAAGTGATATTCCTGCGCACCCACAGCGCATGTATACATGATAGGCATTCCCAGATAGCTGGAGTAAGTCCTTCTAGAACTGGGGCCTCAAAGAGATGGCCCAGGTTGGTGGCTATCAGTGAACAGTCTGGCAGGTGGTAAGTAAAGAGAAAGAGACTGGCCAAGCTGTAGAAAGATGGGGCTCAGTGAGCAGGAACTCAGCCAAAGAGAGGCTTTGGGAAAGCTTATAGGTCTTCATAGAAGGGCGAGACCTCTCAAGTTCGGAAGATCTCCGGTTCCCAAGTACACTGCTCAAAAATTTTTGCCAGTTTTTTTTTTTTAATCTTGTTATTTTAATAGGCGAAAGAAGCTGGAGGAAAGCTTTCTTAGTGGAGGACAGACAGCTGGAGGGAAGATTTCTTTAAGAGGGGCAGGAGAAAATTGCCATCAATAATTAATTGCTTTTCATGCAGAGAAAGTAGCCAGTAAAAGATATCCAGGCAATTGAACTGGATCCAGTATTTCAGGAAATTTGATAGTGTGAGGGAGGGTGGAAGCTGTTCCTACTTATTGTCCAAAGGTAAATTTCTGTTTCTGTTGCCTCTGTTGTTTCCAGCAGCTTGCTCTATGTTTCGATTTATACCGCCACCATTTTAACTGTGTATTCCCACCTAGGGTCATTTTATCCCTATATTAATGAAAATTCCCTAAGTGTGTTGCTTGGTTTGGGGGCTTCATCTTAGTTTAGTTTTGTTTTTGAATATGCAGTTTTAGAAAAAATTCCAGCTTTAAGGAAGCCATGGCCCAGATCCAGGAGCTAAAGGAGGCCATAGAGTTGCTCAAGGAGACCATCCAGGTGGGGTGAGGCTCTGGCCAGTGAGGGACTGGGGGGCTGGCCCTCGTGCTCCACACCACTCCTTGAACACGTGCTGGCATGACAAGAGGCAGCACTCCCCTCCAAACTCACTGCCAGTGATTCTGACCCAGCGACCCTCTGGACAGGGTAGAACTGCCTCTGTGGGTTTCCCAGACTGTACCTCTTCACAGGAGTAGAAAGCCTCATCTTTTTCCAGCCAGTGGTTTCCAGCTGATGGCTTTGTGGTTAGAAGCCCAGCATGCAACCCACCAGACACTAGGACACCTGCTCGCTACTGTAGTCTTAATTCTCCACCTCCCAATCTAGCGGTCCTAGGAAAGCTCATCCCCACGCCACATGGGACTTCCTACAGCCCCCTGGCCAGGGGGAAGTTCTGTTCCAGTCCCTGCCTGAGTTTTGAGAGTGATTCATGTGCAGACACCTGCTCTTATTCATTCCGTGCAGGTTCACACTGTACTTTCTAGATGCCAGCTCCTGTGTAGATAGCAAAGCCCTCAAACATGTCTGTGTAGGCTGATATGCCCTACAGTGAGAATTGAGATCAAATTCTAGTGCTTCTATTCATTAGCTGATTTCCTTGGGAAAGTCTTTGAGCCTCACTGGACCTCTAGTGGTTTATCTCTACAGTGGGCCAGATGTTTGAACTTCAGGGGTAAGTGACTCAGTGCAGGGTCTGGCAGGCTTTCAGTGGCCGCTGCTGTGATCC